AAAAAAAAAAAAAAAAAAAAAAAAAAAAAAAAAAAAAAAAAAAAACACACTACTCCCTGATGCGACCACCCCAACCTTTTTCTTTTCTTTTTTTTCTAGCAAAGAAACACCCCCTGATGCTGATCTAACCCCCCCAACCTACCTCACCAATCTATAACTCTCTCACTTGGCAATCGAGTGAGTGCACTGAAAGTCACCACCTTGTCATTGACTGGTAGCCAGACCCGATTGAACTTTGCCTTGTTGTCACATTACGACTCTGGGTTTCGCTGAGTCGAACCCTTCACAACCGCCACCTTGTGAATTCGGTATCTCCTTCAATGATGCCTTTGGTTGCAAATCACAGCTCTGCCTTTGGATTTTCTAGTGTCCTCTAGGGTGATACTGCATCTCTCCTTTTGAATAGCCGAACAGTCGATAGACTTATCCGATAAGACCATACTGCAGCCTTTCAGTCCTGCCGAGTCGGGGAGGGGTGGGTAGTCCCCAGGAGAAACTGGACCGGTTCCTCTGGGAAAGGAGAAGGGAAGGGAATAGGCGGGTCCCATTGCATTATCAAGTGAATCTGTACTTGGTGTTTGATCACATTCGTCAAAACTTAATCCATATTCTAGTCCGTCTAGTCTTGCCCCCTCGATTGCCAGGCCCATTCTGCTGGGGGTCGAACTCTCGATCTTCTAGAGTGGTTTCTCTACTCAAACGATTTGCATAGGCATATAGTCCTAAAAGGCTAAAACCGTTACCTTGCACGTCCTTCAAACGGCATCCATTCCAATTCGAGTGACACAGAGAAGATTAGTATGCCATTGGGCCCTGCGCAAGGACGACACACATAAATCGAGAAATGGTCCAAACAAAACAACAAGTATCAAAAAAAAAAAAAAAAAAAAAAAAAAAATCAGGCCCGTCGAGTAGTTTTACTGTGTACGGAGGTTCTTGTAGTTAGTCAGGATGCTCTGTCTTCCAGTTCTCACCTATGTATTTCCTTGGGCACTCTTTGATGTCCAGTTTTTGTGACATTGATGTGTACGTTGATGTGTCCGTATACCATCTGCAGATTCTGCACATTGCACAAACTGAGGGCGTACTGACGCTAGGGAGCCTAGGAGGACTTTTTCCACTTCTGTGTGGATGTAAATAATTGCGGTTGGGTGCATCCTTGCCTGGTCGGAAAAATGGTCATACACATTCAAACCCCTTTTGGTAGGCGATTGCACATAGCCACAAGATGATTTATATGACGAGACCAACTTCTGCCTACTGTCTTCCGCCAAACACAATGCAGCCTCATCACGAGCGTATCGGACCGGAAAGATAGCTTGTATGCATTCATAATCAGCGTGCATCATGTGTGTGGGGGGGGGGAAGACAGTAGTCTTGGAGCATCAGTCCTCCCTTGCAGCATTCAAAGTCGATGATGCAATGGAGTTGATCTCGTGTATAAAATACGGACGCCACCTGACCAACTGTGTTTGAGTAGCAAAGAGCTTGCACTAACTTTGAGGTTGGAAACAACAACAATGGCTACTCATACATTCATAATCAGGGTGCATCGTGTTAAACAGCCAGTACACGGTCCCAGCCTTGCTTGAAAAGAGACTCATAGCCTACAAAAACTTAGGAGGCTCGGCCTACCGGACCATGATGGCTTGCAGCGCCAGCCAAAAAAGAAAAAGAGTGCACAGCTGGCGCTTTGGAAAAGATTGGTGCGCAGTAAAGGGCCTGCAGGCCCGGGTGTACTGGTGGTTTAAGGGGAAGGCAGGCTGTAGTTTTGGAGAATCAGCGCTCGCATACATCATTGAAATTCGATGAATCAGATGCGAATGGAGTTGAGCTCTTGCATATAAATACAGAGTTGAGCTCGTGTATAAATACGGAGTCGAGCTTCTTGTGTATAAATATGGATCATGTCACCTGATGAACTGTGTTTGAGTAGCAAAGAGCTTACACTAACTTTGAGGCTGGAAACAGCGATGGCTCACCGAAGGTAGGAAATCCTTCAGGAGAGGAAATTCACTGTAACAGAAAATGGATTGAATGCAGACAATGGAATAGATTCACCAGGAATCATATCACATGGAATTTGAATTCATGGAAGAACTGATCCAGAAGTGATCCAGGATTTTTTAAATGGATCCCATCGGGCCCTGGTATTACCACCTGGTCCAGCAGATGTGAAACCACCACCACTTCTGAGCCTCTTTTTGCTGGGGAGGAGTAGAACTCCGCGCCAAGCATTGGCCGAAGTGCGAGCGCGGCATTTTTTGTTTTGTTTTGGGTGGCACCACCAGCCTTTTTGGTCCAGTAGTAGCGCCCGCCCTCCACCGGCCTGCGAAGAATGCGGTATTGGATGGACCATGATTGCCAATGGTTGACTTATATTTACGACATCAGCCCCCAGCCTGAAAGGTACTGGTGGTTTTAGTATGTTAAAACTTGCAAATAAAAATAAAAAACAAGGAGTGGGGTGTAGTTAGTGGCGACTTATTGACAAGCGGTATTATATGTATGTGGTTGGTCCTGTGTTGTCCTCTTGCTGCAGGGCGTTGATCGTTCAGAAGGGAATCAATGCAAAAACCAATTTTCCAATTGCAGAATACATACAGGAGTTCACAGAGAGTGAGAAGTCAAGGGTTAGCCCCTCTTCCTTATGACCCTATCCTCCCTCCCAGGACCTTCCTGGCATCCCTTTTTGTTTTTGTTTCTGTTTTCGCAATGATTATCCTGTTTCACACCTGCTTGAGGAGGTGATAAGAGCAGACACCTTGAGCAGGCCATCTGCTGGTGCTGCAATCTGTTGGTGGGGAGCTGCATCGGCAGGAAACAGGGTCTAGCATCCCTTATACATCATGATTGCCATGTGTGGCTGGGAGCCAGCATCTGTGCTTGTTTTTCTTCAACTTTCTGTACAGTAAAAGGGCCTTTACCCGATGTAGGCCTCAGGCCTTGTAAAAGTAAAGTAGTATGGGACTTGTAAAGGTAAAGCCACGTGAAAGGGTATCTCGCCAGGGCTCAGAAATGTGAAAGCAGGTCAAAGGTCAAGTTCACTATCAACAGGCACATCCAAATCTAAAGCAAAGGGCAACGTCAAGAGACTTACCTGTTCACCAGAAGATGTGCATGTCATGTCTGTTCGGGTAAGGGTGTGTCTGTACGTGCAGACAGTGTACCTGTTCGTGCAAAGAAGAGTGTCTGTTCAGGCAGTATGTGTGTCTGTTCGTATAGAGTTGTGCCTGTCCGAAAGTAAAGTCAACAGGTAAAGTCCCAGTTCTGGTCTAAGTCAAGGGGACAGTCCAGATCCAGACTTTCAAGTCCAAATCTAGGCCGAGAGGCCTCAGCAGCAGTTGAACCTCATTGGGACTATACTGGGACACATGCAATGCAGGGTCTGGRACAAAGGAAAGGCTGAACTCAGCCAATGCAGACACAGCGAGGAGTGGCCAGCACTATAAAGGAAGCGGCCAGCCTCATTCCTCGCCAGATCTCCACTGGCCATTTCTGCGTGGAAGTGCTGAATCACTTGTGCGCTAAGCCAGGAGGAGCAGCGCTGGAGGATGAAGATGCACTGAGTGAAGGAAGAAGACTGTGCGCTGGAAGTGATGTAGCCATAGCTGCCCAGCAAGTTAGTATAGACTTAGAGAGTTAGTAGTAGTCAGCTATGGGTAGTATTCAGAGTAGATCCTCATGAGTAAAGAGTGTGTATGCATCGTAGGAGGAAGGGACTGAGACAGAGAGTGTTCATTCAAGGTTTGGTTATGGAAGATACTTACCTGAGTTGAATGTGAACTGCAGAGGTGGCGCTGATGAGTGGTGACCACATTGATGACTTGGAGACAGTCTGCAGAAGTCGCGCTGATGTATTGGAAGCCATATTGATGAGTTGACAAGGGATGTGTATTGCGCTGATGAGCGCTGGACTCAGGGAACTCTGAAACTCTTTGTAATCATATTTCTGCTAATATAAGTGGTGAAACTCGGTTCTCTTCTCATCTACCTTTGTCTAATGTGTGAGATTCGTGATCACTGTGTGTGAGGATGATGCATGACATGTGCACTCTTGCGTGAGATGGTCCCCAGGACCCATGCAACAGTGGACACACCTCTTCTTCTGACCTTTGTCCCCAACTTTTTTCACAAATTTTGTGTTTTGTCCTCCCCTTGTTTTCACCTTTGCGACTTCTTTCCTCCTTTCTTTAGGGACTTTCTCTCCTCATCGCCTTTTGGGGCTCTACCTGTTCAGCCTGTGCTATAGGGGTTTAAACCACCAGTACATGGGCACCTGGGCCGCAGGCCTGACTCCTCGAATTGTGGAGGCGTGAAATGAAAACGCGACCGCCGATCGAATTTATCAACGGTGGGCCCAGTGTTTGACGTTTCGGCCTCTCGTTTTCTTGTGGCGACGAGTTTCGGACTACAAGGCTGGGCCGTGTTCTTGTGGTTTAACTTAAACGTTTGGCCCGTTTTGGCCTTTTTTTCCCTAAACCGCCAGTACACGACCACAGCCTTGTGGAAAAAGTTCATCGCCTACTCCGAAGATTTCGTGCCTCGGGCCTACTAGACCACAGCGGCTGGCGGTGCCAGCCATCCAGGCCATCGTGTACTGGTGGTTAGTGCAAAATATGCTATCTAATATGCTATAGGGGTATTAGGTGTGCTTTCTCTCTTATCAAGGGTATGAAAATGTGGTGTTCTAAAATGCGCCTGCTCCAGCACTACAAAACTGAATAGAACGCCCGGTCATTATGGCTGCATCTGGACCGACAGTTGTGCCAAATACAGCTATAATGACCACCGGGCGTTCTATTCGGGTGAAGACCGGAAGGAGTATATCTGGCTTTCCAAAACATTTGTTTGAAGGCTTTGACCACAATTTTCAAACAGAACGCCCAGAGTGTAGTGCAGAAATGTACAGCCAAGGCCTCAATTCCGGTGGTTCTCTCACCATGGCCGGGATAGAGGCCTTGGACCCCCCCCCACCCCCCCCACTCCCCAACAAAGTAAATAAATACATAAATAAATTTCCGTAGGGTTCGATAAATGATTTTTATGATATAACTTTGTAGAAGTAAGCAAGCATCAACAATGTCCGTGATACTTTGTGTGCATAGGTGATTGGAAAACGTTTTGCAGAAAGGAAAATAAGAGGGGTTCATTTTTTTTGAGCTGTATTAGATTGCAAGAACTTCCGAAAAAGGTCATTATAATGTGGGAAACAGGTCCAAAAGCAGCACAGAAAACCAGACTGAGTCTCAAGTCCCGAGTTCATTCCTAGGGTCGGCAGATGTCTGCAGAGGCCCCACATGTCCCATAAAGTCCCCAGAGTGAGTCCAGTAGAAGTAGAACTAGTATCCGCTAGGCCTTTGTGCTGAAAAGGCCTTGAGGCGTCAACCCAGATCCTGAGAAATAGATTGACTACTGAAAGGAAGCTAGGACTTGATTGGAAATGCTGTATTTGTCAGCCAGACAGGGGCCGCACAGGTCTGAGGGGTCATCTGGACAACGAGCAACAGATAACGGTAGAGGGAGCAGGCTATGTTTTTTTTTTTTTTTTTTTTCGCACGCCCATCTATTCGTGGGGAGCAGCATGTGCTGGCAACTGGGCCCACCGTGTCTTTAGGCTATCTTGCAAACGGAATTCCAAGATGTGGGACCAGTCCTGTGTCTGTACAAGGACACAGTCTGTCCTTAAAGCAGTCCAGGACCTCCTTAATAAGGAGTGGTCGTGGACTCCTAGCATATGATGATATACTCCTTTGTAAAAGACTTATTGTTAGAGATGGTGGACCCTTTTTCCAGTGGGTGCAGCTCCCCACCAATAGAGAGGACCCACCCTTGCTATAGGGTTGATGTCTGGGACTGCGCCTACCACCCCGGCTAGCAGCCCCTGGACTCGAGGTTTTGACCCCCGCTCCCTTCCCCCCCACCCTTTCCCCCGAAGAAGAAAGAACAGTTGGGATAGAGATCCGAAGGTTGATGCCTGGGAACTGCTGTGGTTTTCCAAGGAGGTCTGCCGTGGTGGTAGGCTGTTGAGGGAGGGACTCGGTATGGTACTACATACAATGTCATCTACCTTCTTCCCCTGAATACAATGTGTGGTTATTATAGCTGTATCTAGACTGAAACATGCCTCAAATACAGCTATAATAACCGTACATTTTATTTGGGGGAAGAAGGTAGCTGTTGAGAAACAGGTCATGAGTTCATATCCCGAGATGTACATAAAATTAATATAGATGTTGATTGCTTGAAGACAGTATTAGAGAATTTTAGAGTGTCTTTGTGGGGGCTTCCAGGGGTCTGAGTATTTGAGGGACTTCCACTAATTGCTGCTTGAGAAGCCTAGTAATAGGTTGGCAGGTTAGCAGCTATCCGGTGTTTTTCTACATTTTTCTTGAATCTTTTTCATAGTTCTCAGATTGTTCTTGGCCGGAGCCAGGTAATGGCCTTGGCACTTTAAATCATTTGTATATTTCTATATGGGACGCTGGGCCCGGTTCCCAGCACGTGTTGCTCCCCACGAATAGACTGGAGCATTTGTCCCAAAAAAAAAAACAAAAAGGGATGAAGAGGTCTTGAGATCAAACCCCGCAACGTACGTGTAGCTTTTGGTAAACGGGTCACGACTTCAGAATCTTCTGATCATGATTATGTTAGAATCATTCCTATGTAGGGCTCGCCGATTTTGAGAGCTACTTCCTGTTTTTGGCCCATCGCCGCTTGCCCACCGCTTTCTACTTCTTTCCCCGCTTTGTGCTGTATAATAGCTGCAGTTCCCGATTGTTATGCTTGCCGATGTTTAGAGCTCCTTCCTGTTTGTGGCCAATCATCCCTCCCCGACCCCTTTATACTCCTTGCCCCGTTTTTTTTGCTTCAGAATAGCCACGGTTGCCGCCTCCTTGTTATGTTTAATCATATGGTAGATCCTTCACGCTCTAAGAGTCAGGAATTTGGCAAACTGGCAGGTATCAGCTGCAGGATGTGCAGATGGAGGGGACGAGAAGAAACCACAAATTGGCTCACGATCAGCAAGCAGGAGATCGCAAGCGCTGACCTCCACACAGGGAGCAGGAGGTAAACATCCACCCCCACAAACCATCACTGTTCATGACATTTTCAGAGATCTATTGGATGAGTTGTCCTTCTCCGCACGATCCTAGATTACAGCAGAGCTCCAGCTGCCATGCTTTTCTTGCTACCGTTCCGCCATACTCACAGTCGGTCATTAACTTTGGGGCGCATTGGAGCGAAATGACATCCAGATCCATCGTAGTGCAATTATTATGACCTTTGGCTAGCTGTGATTGGTTCCTTGAGAAGAACTATGTGAAAGGCAACCCGTAACCACCAGTACATCCAGCTATCGGCGGCGGGCCCTTTTCACCGAAGTTTTTGGAGGCCACCCGCCGCCGATTCGATTTATCTACGGCACACTGGGCCTCCCAAATTTTTGTTGGCTACGGGTTTTCTTTTCAGCAAGGCTGGGGCTGTGTACCGGCGGTCTAACCTGGGAGCCAAAGGACTCCGTCAAGTGTTTCTGCTGAGGCTTGAATTGGGTATCTTGGTCTGGCAATGAACTGCCAATGCATTACGCAATGTCCTCTTGGACTCCGGAAGGTCGCAATTTTTGTTCATGATGGCTGCAGGATAACATATTCAAGATCATACGGCCTACAGCAGGCAGCCGCAACTGTTGGCACCACCTTTCTCCACCTGTAGGGCTGCGTGAAACACCAGGGTCATGAGTCCGCTACCAAATACTAAGACATGCACAACGGCGATCTTTGTGATCGCTGGCCTGTCTCTCTTTAACCACCAGTACTTTTGACCCTTCCCTTGGCGAGGCTCCAAACGCACTCAGTCTGCCCGCCCAGAGAAAATGAACTGGCCCAGGCCTTCTAGTGGCTGGCGCCGCCAGCCATTGTGCCCCCGT